GTGAAAATTTACAGGGCAAATTCACTTTCCATACAGCAGTTCACATACACTTTGTCTCGTGACATTGGCTACAATTTACCACAATGCAACAGCTCCCCTGTCACTTCCTCCCATCTTCCCTGTATCTGTCCCTCCATGCACTCCTGCCCCCTGAGCTGTCTCCCTGTGCATACACAACCCTTCTTTCTCCCATGATTGTTCTCTTCAGGGAGTGTATCTACCTCCCTCATTTTTCATTGGCCAGAACTAAGTCATGCATAAGAATCATAGGTTACCATTGCTGAGACAATTCAGGATTTGCTTTTGAGGTGGCTGAGGGATCAGCTTCTGCAAAATTGGCGCGGGGGCATTGTCGTCTGAGCTCCTCTAACTTCACAAAGGGGAAGAAAGATCAGCACAAGACTGATTTGTATGAGGGGGAGATAAGACATACCTCCACACTTCAACCTCGTTACCAATTCTGGCACCAACCATCCCTACCATGGCACTCTCTCCTTCTCTGTTAGGGTTGATAATTCATTGCAGTGTCCACACAGAACTCTCACACAATACTAATACTCATGATTATGGGTTTTATTAGGGAAGTAATAGGTTACAATTCAGCATCAGAAACAATTCAGGATACAGTTCTTCCATCAAGACAGCCTTTTCTCAGCTGTGCCACAGGCACGCTTCTCTCTCACCTTGGCCTCTTGGCCCTGCACCCCCTTGGTGTCTACCCTGCTTGGGCAAATGTTACAAAGCTCTTTAACTCTGCAAATAGGCCCAGGGAAGCACCCTATTCCACCAGCAAGCCTCCTGGTGGAAGGCTCTCAGCTTTCTTGCTCCATGGGCCAGGAAGTCTACTATTCTGTCTTGTGCTGGTCTCTGCTACCACAGTTTTTCTGCTGTGGTCTCTGCTACTGCTTCTCACTGTCTTCCACTTTCTCGGTAAAATGTCACAACTCTCTGTCTCCTGGGTCGAGGAGGTTCAGCGCAAGGATCTCGGGTCCAAAGGACATGTTCTGCTCCTGGCTCTTCTTTCTTGATGGTAGTGAGAGCCCCACTTCCCCCTCTGGGATGGTTCATTTTAAGCCTAGGGGATGGCAAAACTGACCAGTCCCATTAGGGTTCCATACACCTTGTTTCCATGGTCCTACCTCCACAGGGGTGCCATGTACCTTATTTACATTACTAACAAGCTACCCAATCTCCTTGGTGGGCCACAAGTGCCTCACATTTGCATAGTCCCACCCGATCATCTGGTACGTGTCACAAAGACCATGGCTAGAAGAGCCATGTTAATTCACTGCACCATACCTTCCTATAAAGTCATGTGAGGGAGGGCATGGATGCTTGCACAAAGTCAGGATTGTGATGGCAGGAAAGCATGGGATGGATTTGACATGGGCAATAAACAGTATCTGCTACATCAGGGTGTGTGAGGAGGAGGGACAGGTCCAGGATGAGCAGGAGAAAATGTGTGCAGTGCCTCCCCTGGACAGGGAAGAGGAAATATGCATGAAAGTACACAGATACCTTGAATTCTTTTATTCTCTACACTGTGGTTCTCAGAATTTTGTGCTAAAGAGCACCAACCCTGAGGGAGATGCTTCAGGACCTGACTGCTTGGCCAGAGAAATTTGGGCATCAGACACGCTTTACCTCTCACTCATCCTCTCAAAAAAACCAAACCAAGCCCATTGCCAGCAAGTCGATTACAGCTCAGTGACCCTAGGATGGAGTAGAACTGCCCCACAGGGTTCCCAAGGCTGTCAGTCTTTGCAGAAGCAAACTGCCACATCTTTCTCCTGTGGAGCAGCTGGTGGGTTCAAACCTCCAATCTTTCAGTTAGCAGCTGAACACTTAACCACTGCACCACCAGGGCTCACCATGTGCATCCTAGGACAGCATATGTAAAGCTCTGACAGTTGCTATGCTAAAGAATTCCGGTAGCCTCATTTAATTTGGTGTTTCCATTTACTTGTCCAGAAACATTTATTTGATTCAGAAATCTTTTGAAGAGAGGTGACATTTGTTAACACCTCTCAGACATAGTTTGAGACACCCTGAACCAGAATCTTTCAAAGGTGACTGTGGACCAACTAAGAAGAGGAGATAATTCATTTGTAGAGGGAATTTCTGTCCCTAACTCCAAACAGTATTTGTTTTATGTCTAGTAGGAAATATATATGAACCAACAGACACTCACAGTCACTGCAATTTTATGTATGTTATATGTATGCATGCACACGTGTGTATATGTTAATTAATCTGTTATTATTACTTTTTACTTGATGCACTTGGTAACTGGAGAGATTATGGAGTCGGTGGTAAGTGGAAGCCCCAGGCTATGGCATCACCACACTCTTCGATGACCCGTACGCACACACTGCTCAAACCTTGGGTGCAGCATGTGCCAGTTGAGGGCGCCCAGGCTCTGTCAGCTCCCCACACTTCTCACTGCAGCTTTGAGGTGCCTCTCTTTTACCTCGGATGCCTAGGAAACTGAGTATTTTCATCAGCAGAAAATCGGCAATCTCTCCTTCCTCCGACAGCTGCAGGAAGAAAGAACCGTGCGGGTGCATAGAACCATCTTTGCTAGGCCTTTTCCTGAGAGGAAACCATGGTTAATCATCCAGTTTGGTCACAGCATAAGTCACTTTACGTTTTAGAGTTGCTTTTGGGCTGGGGTTGACCTTAACCTTAGAATCCTAAGAGTTGCCCTTGAGTTGATGCCGACTCATGGCAACCCCGTGTATATCAGAGTAGACTTGTGCCCCACAAGGTTTTCAGATTTTCGAAAGTAAGTTCCAGGCCTGTCTTCTGAGGCACCTCTGGGTGGACTGAAATCCCCAGCCTTTCATCTGGCAGCCAAGTGCACCCACCATCGGCCCCACCCAGAGACTCCTCAAGGGTGTGCATGTCTCCCTCATCCCCAGAGGGTTTCCTCTTCCTCTCTGCTGAGGATGCCCTGGATTCCTGATGGCCTTTTAAAACTCCCAGGTAAGAACTGAGGCCTAGAGTCTCAGCTGTTTCTGAACATGAGCCTAAGCAGCACTTGTGGTGTACAATCTACCTTTTTTTAATTGTGGTAAAATATATGTAACAAAATATTTGCCATTTCAACCATGTTTTATGTGTATAGTGATTTGAGAAATACCAGTGCCTGCATCACGCTCCCTGAGATTCTGTTTTAGTCTCGGGTCAGGCAGGAGCAGCAGCAGTTTCTGAAAGCTCCCAGGTGATTGTCACACATGACCGCTGAGAGTTGGTGTAGTGAACAGAGCAGGAGACCCAGGTTCTCGTCTCGATTCTGCTCTCACTTGCTTATTATCTTAGAGAGATCACTTCTTCCTCGGGCCTCAGGTGCCCTTCCTGTGAAATGAGCACTCTGAGCTGCACTGTCTGTTTAGCTCATTTGTGCTTAAGTGAGGCCATGGTGGTTCCATAGTAAAATTCTCACCTTCCTTGGGGGAGGCAGGGGTTCTAATCCCAGCCGATGCACCTCGTGCCCAGCCACCCCCTGTCTGTCAGTGGAGACTTGCATGACTCCACTGGGATGCTGAACAGGTATCAGTGGAGCTTCCAGACTAAGATGGAGTAGGAGGAAATGCTTGGTGACCTTCTGAAAACCCCCTGGCCCAAACAGGCCATCCTCAACTGAGTGGCATTTCGTTCTGCTGTGTGTGGGTCACCACGAGTCAGAGACTAAGTAGATGTTAGCAACACCGAGTAGTTAAATATCCACGAAGCTCAGCTCAGGTGAGAGAGGAGGAGTATACTGAGGAGGAGATACCTCCTCTCCCACCCTCCAGCCCTGCAAACTCCTACGCCATTCCTGGGCACCAGTGGAATGACCTCCGCCAGCTCAAGGTCATTGACCTGATTATTGACAAACACACCAGATGGACTCACCTGATGGTATTTTTGCTCCTCCCTGAAGGCCACCAGGATGACAGAGATAAACAGATTCAACACCACGAATGTCATGCACACAATCCAGGACCCGACCAGGAGGGAGCCAAGCACTGGGCTATCAGTGAGAACCTGCCAGGAGGAAAGCTAGGCATTCCCTGGTGCCCCAGATCCCAGTGGCCACCACCCCCCATTAGCCATCCTCAGAGGGGAAAACTGGTCCTCAGAGCTGGTCAGAGTCTGCATCTAAGAAGGTCTCCTTCTGCCCTGAGGACAGTTCCAGCAGTTCTCTCAAGAGGAGATGGAAAGGGCAGCACCCCCTTGTCCCTAATGCTGCCACCTCCAAAGTAAGGGAACTATCTCTCTAGTTAAGCCCATAACAGTTCCCTTCTGGAGATCCTCAGCACACCCTCCCCTGAGTAGGAAGTGGCTATTCTTTGGTAATCAAGGGTCCTCTGTGGGGTGCACCATGGGCCCTAGCATGGGGCTGTCTGCTGGAGGCGAGGGGAATGGTTTTATTTGTCTGAGTTATCCTGTCTTGCCTGTCCATTGAAGGGAGTAGCAGAGCTATTTTTTCTCATTTTCATAAAGGCTTGATATAGGTAGGCAGGGTCCATCTCACCCCCTACCACCCCAGTACCTCCTCATAGTTGAAGATTCCCAGCTGAAGGCTGATCATTGTTTCTGCTGCACCGAAGAGAGTTTTGTAGGATCGGAGCTTCCATCCAAATATTAAATGGGACTGTTGTGGGAAGAGTCCTCATGAATAGAGAAACTCTGACCACCCCATCACCACCACAACCCCCACCCAATAGCCTGTCATTTGGCAGAAGATTCCGTGGTCTGGGTTGTCCACATTCTCGGCCTGGCCTGGCAAAAGCTGTCCATACCTGCGAGGGCCTTCATGTGAGTGTTTGTGTGCCTGGGTGAGGTGTGTGCAAGGCCGCATGTGTGTCGGTACATGTGAGTATGCATGGGTAGAGCTGTATGCCTCGATACTGCACACATGTAGTGGTGTGTGCATGTTGTGATGCCTGCTGGATGATTTGACCAGGACCTTTTCGGTTGTCCACAGCCTGTTGAGGGGCCAACTGGCCCTGTCCACCTCTCTCAGCATAGAGAAAGTGCTCAGGGCATGTTTGGGTGTGGGCACCCACCTCCCAAGCTGCTCCTGTGTCCACCCAGGTATCTGTTAAAGACACTCACTGAGTGAAATTGGGCTCTGGTAGCCTCCTCTTTACTCTGGGGGAGGGCAGTGGTTAGAAGGACCATGGACTTCCTCAGCCTGGGAGGGTCTTCCCCCCACCACAGTTGCCCTCAACCCGAAGAATTTCTCTAGGACTCTTATGCCGGAGGGAGACCCAGCCCTCCCTGACTCTGAGTTGGTGACATCACTGTGGCCTATGCACTGCAGATAGAAGACTGATCAAATCCACATGAATTAGGACATGTAGGTAGGGACTGTAATAAAAACACAAACTAACTTTCTAGCATTTTAGCAATCACAACATGTAAAGCATATGCCTTCACCCTGTCAATGCACCCCACCCCATTTCTGAGGGTGAAGAGGAAGATAGAGTGAGCAAAGGGAATGGAGAGGGGTGAGCCGAGATGATATGGAGCAGAGAGGATCATTAATAGGTGAAGGTTAGGGCTGAAGAGACTAGTGGATGGCTGGAAGTCAAGGGAATGGTAGAAAGTGAGAGGCCAGGGCGGGGGCCAGGTGAGAATGGGGAAAGGGGCCTAGAATGGGGAGTGGGCCAGGTTTGAGATGAAGGGTTAGAGATGAGTGCAGACCAGGGATATTATGGGAATCTGAACTTGGTGGGGATACCCTGGCATACTGGAATGGAGCTCAGCAAGGGCAGTGTGGGGAGGGTCTTTTCTTTCTCATATAACTTGAAAATAAAGAGTTGGAAGTTGAAGGTTTGCTTTTTATCAGCCATAAAAGGGATATGATTGTCAAAATATTCTCAGTGTCAAAAGACTGAGTCAAATGGCGTTGGCCCTACTAAGATCAAGCTTCAAGCCTATGCCATCAGTATCGACCTAGCCTGTGAATGTGTCTGCACGCATATGTGCATGTATGCACGCACGCGCGCACACACACACACACCTGCCCCAGCTCAAATACAAGGACTGCTTGCTTTACCTCTGCCCCTCCTGGGACAGAGGGCATGCTCTGTGCATGGAGGGCATGTTCTGTACATGTTAGGGATTAACCAGAGGGGTCACCTTGGCTCTGTGAACAGTTGGGGTAGCAGAACTGGCTCATCCAGGCAGGATCTGGATGCAGAAAGGCGTCCTCCATTGGGGAAAGTTGGCCCTTCCAGCCCTGGAGCCCAAGCCTCCTCATTCTTCCTTGAGGTCCCAGCCTTTACCACTTAGGGTGGTTGGTTCATGCATGATCTAGATAAAAGCCTCCACACTCAGAAGATGCACCATCTCTCTCAGGTTCTCAGGGCATCCCAGATGCTAATTCTCTGTCCATTCCCCACTACTGAGAAACCTTGACTTCCATGGAGACCAGCCCTGAAGTTTTCCCCAAAGAGAAAGAACCTCTCACCGTGATGGAGTAAGCCAGGAGCATGATAACAATAACAACGATAAAGCCTGAGATGTCCCCCCAGGCATGGTGCAGGGCTGATGTGATCATGTTCATTTTGGGGTTCAACCTGAGCAGATGCCATAGCTTCACTGTGGACAGGAGGACCAGGAAGGCGATGATGTAGCCAAGGGCAGCATCAGCTGCTGCTGTCTCACTGAAACTGATCCCCCTGTGGGACCAAGGAAGATCCAGTTGAACTCGATTTCCTGCCAACAGTGGCAGATTTCTGTTTTCTGATAGTGTGAAAAGGGAAGAACTCTCTTGCTATAAAATTGTTTCATAATACATCTCAATAATTAACATCTGTGCATGTCAAGAATCAAACACATTTTAAATCGTTGTGAAGGGTCCAACTCATGGCTAATGTAGGGGATAGTGATGGTGATGGCTCAAGAAATGTACTTGCTGTCAGTTATCTCACTCCTGTATGACCTTAAAACTCATCATAGTTTCCTTCCTAGAGCTTTGGCTTTGTGAACCATAGAGTCTTTGTCACAAGTCAGCTTTGCCTTTATAGCAGGAAACAGCCGTACACATTATGTAAGTGAATGGGTAGGGCTGTGACCCAATAAAACTTTATTTACAAAAACAGGTGGGAGACTGGGTTTGGTTCCAGGCTATATTTTTACTTATTTATTTTATTTATTTTTAAAATTTTTATTGTGATTTGGGTGAAACTTTCAGAGCAAATTCATTTTCCATACAGCAGTTCATATACATTTTGTCTCGTGACATTAACTGCAATTTCCTACAATGTAACAGCTTTCCTCCCACTTCCTCCCTATAGTTTCCTCTTTCCTGTGTCCTTCCCTCCCATGCATTCCTGCCCCCAGAACTGTCTCCCTGTGCAAATACTACACTTCTGTTCTTCCATAATTGTTCTCTCCAAGGAGTGTATCTACCTAATGTAAATGTTCAGCCCATATGCTTGTCTGTTATTTGGCTGGAAGCCACAGGAGTGGGTTCAATTCCAGACCTGAGGGGCAGGTAGGGCCATAGTCTCAGGGGTTTCACCAGGCTCTATCAAACCAACAAACCTGGTCTTTTTGTTTTGTTTTGTTTTGTTTTGTACCACATTGTTCTCCCACTCTATCCAGGATCTCTCTAGGCTGTATTTTGCCAAGACTTGTTGTTGTTATGTGCCGTCGAGTCAGACCCAACTCATAGCGACCCATCCTTGGGTTGCCGAGGCAGTATCACTACGGAAGTAGATTGCCCAACCTTCCTTCCGAGGAGTGCCAAGACTTACCTCCCCATAATATAATGTCTCTAGAAGTTTCTAATCTGCTTGAATTAAGATGAAAGGGCTCTGGGAATTTCTGGACTGAAATGAATGGAAGGATTCTGTTGAACTGAAACCTCTAAAGAGGGTGGAGTTTTTGTCATAGAGTTGGAGTAGCAACATGGATGTTGCACAAAGAATTGCTCAATGCTGGCTTGTTGAATGAACGACACAGTGTAGGTAGATGGAGGGTAGGAGTGTAAAGTTCAAGTTCTAGGCCCTGTGTTTCCTTGCTGTGTGGCCTTGTCCAAGCAAAATCTCTGAGACTCACTTTCCTCATCTGTAAAAGAAGGATGATAATAATATCACCTCCTAGAGGTCTTGGGGAGCTCTGGTGGTATAGAGGTTAAAGCATTCATCTGCTGACCAAAAGGGTAGCAGTTTGAACATACCAGCCACTCTGCAAGAGAAAAGTGAGGCAGTCTGTTTCCATAAAGATTTACAACCTTGGAAACCTTATGGGGCAGTTCTACTCTGACCTGTAGGGTTGCTATGAGTTGGAATTGACTCAATGGCAATGGATTTGGGTTTTTGTTTGTTTTATATTTATAAAATGAATGAATCAAGAAACACAAAGATTCAGAGTAAGGAGCAACACAAGCCTAGGTTTAAATTACTTCTCAGCACTTTCTAGCTGTGTGGCCTTGGGTAAGTTACATCCTTTCTGAGCCTCTGTTTCTTTATGCATAAAATGAGGTAGTGATCCTGTCTACCTCTGTTGGTTCTTAGGAAGATTTATCAAGTCAGTGCATCCTGCTTGGCACATGGTGGACAATAGGTAGTTGATAGCAGAGGTGGGTTTGCTAGGGTGCTAATGTTTGGAATGGTCCTCCCCAAGGGGCTGGGAAGGACTCTGTCTGGGTGCCATCTGGTCCTACATTTTGGTAAGATTTGCAAAAGGAAGGTATTCTATGTTTTCTTAAAGAGTCCTCTCCAATTGTATATGCTTCAGGCCTCAAACCTGATTCTAAGTGGCAGGTACAGGTGTTTTTACTAAGAGTGACCCTTGGTCCTCTGAGGGTCAACAAGATTCTAGAGCTGCCCTCTGGCCCGTGGGCCTAACACAGAGCTGGAGGAAGGAGGGTGAGTGGTAGGAGGCTTGGGGGTGAGACAAGAGGCACTTACTCCTCTCTGTGGCCCCGGTAGTGCTGGATGTCACACTCTGCCAGGACGGCCCTCTTCACAAACACCACCAGGGCACTCCAGCTGGCCAGGATGATGGTCAGCTCCAAGAGATTCCACTTGCTGCAGAAATAGCACCATTTCTGCTTCCTCATGAGCTTGCCCTGGGAAAGGAGCAGGAAGTTCTGCCAAAGGCTGTGGCCAGATCCTATCCCTGTCTGCCAACCCCCACACATATGCCTACTCCCGATATGGCCCAGGGTGACCCACCAGCAGAGGCTTATGGAATCCTGGGAAGGCTTTCCACAGTCACTGGCCCAGACACATAGCCAGAGACGCCCCACAACTTGTGTATATACCCCATCTGCTTCTATCACCAACACGCCTGCAGAATTCGAGGACGTTCCAGGTCAAAAGTGGTTACCTGTGCGTGTTCTCAGCAACCATCCCCTCTTCCTTCCAAGAGGGTCTCCTGTTGGTTGCATTTCCCTTCTCATACCTACCTAGATGAAGGCCTAGTGCTGACTGGCAAGAGGCTAAGTTTGCCTCCATAACAAAGGGTTGGAGAGGGGAGGCTGTAAAATCTGTTCAAGCAGCATTTTGTGAGAGATTTAAAGAAGGATTTCGGAGACACACTTTCTGAAGAAGCTACAGACAGTCTAAGGGAAACTGAAGGAGAGGAAAAAGGAGTGGAGGTAGGTGTAAGCAGGCCTCTTTGGATGTTCTTAGAGATGCAAGTAAAAGATGCAGTGGCTCTCTGAGAACTCTTGACTATTGGGCTGAACTGGCAGCACCCAGAGACCATGTGGGCCCTGGCTTTATGGGCTGTTATTGTGGCATAGAAGTTGAGTGGAAGGTCTGAGGTCAGACTCTCTAGGTTCAAATCCTGACCTTGGATAAACTACTTAATGTCTCTGAACTTTAGTGTCCTGCTCTGGACCTCTCTCCTGGTGGGGCTAGAGGAGAAAATCCATGTTGGGTTCTTAGCACAATTCCTTCTGCACAGTGAGCACTCAGAGTATCATCTTCACTCTAAAGAGGTGGTTTAAGCGGGGGATAGAGGACCAAGATCTCCACCTGGATTTGCATTTGGCTCTGGAGGGGGAGTGTATCCCTATAATCAGCATCAGATGAGTTCCCAGCATCCTCACACCTTCCTCATCATCAACATCTGTGTCTTCATCATGCAACCTGGTAGTAGAAATGATGAACATGCTTTTGCCTATTCCCCAGGGACCACTGGTGCGAACACAAAGTGCAATCTAAGTTCAGAGAAGTCCCAGCTGTAGAGGCAGTGACCTCCTCCCAGCACTCTTTGGAAGGGCTCCATTCAGCAGAAATAGGATCACCGCTCCCCTTCCTTTCCCACACAGAAAAGACCACCCCTCTGAGTTACCCATTCCTAGGTGGTGCTGATGTTGGTCCCATTGAGATCATTAGAAGGACCTCAGAGTTGCTAAGGTAAACATCTAAGGAATCTTTCCCTTACTCCATGGAAGAGGATAGGAGTGGGAGAGGGAACAGGGCACACCTCCATCTGGGCTCATGGAGCCACAAGTCCAGACTTACCTGCACAACCATGTAGTAGAGGAGGAAGAGGAAGTAGAGGGCCTCTGCTGCCACCACAAAGGGATGCCAGCCATCGGTGAAGGGGTACAGGCGGAGGCTCTGCAGGTTCACATGTGCAAAAAATGTTCCTGAGAAGGAAAACACATTCCACTCACCCTGTCACCCTCCCACTTGCAACCACCACTTCTGATTCTAAAGCCATCAGGTTATCTGACTCAAGCTCAAACTCTTTGGTCCAGCTGGCCAGGGAAGAAGAGAATATCAAATTCCTTCAGACCCAAAGACTCAAGAAACTGGATGGGAGACCCCAAAGGCAGTGGAGATGTATCAGAAGGGACACAGAGCTACAGTGACAGATCCGCTCCCTGGCCTCTGCCTGTGATGTCAGTCAGCCACTTGTCCCTTCAGCTAAAGCACTCAAGCCAAACCACACTCACTGTCGTAGAGTCGATTTCTACTCACAGCAACCCCCATTGGGTTTCCAAGGCTGTAAATCTTTACAGCTGGCAGATCAAACCACTGACCTTTTGGGTAGCAGCCAATTGCCCCTACTATACCACCAAAACTGCTTAGGTGAAGCACAGCCACCCCTTAACACCAGTCCACTTCGAGTTGGTCATTTTAAACTGTTTTGCCTGAGGGCAGTTCACCAAAGCTCAATTCATCTACTGAGCAATATGCCAGTTCAATTTGTTTGGAATTGTTTTTCATCTATTTTCCTGTCTTCTCCTTTTCATACCTTTATTGTTTTCTTTTTGTTTCTGGCATTGTAATGATGTTCCCTTCTTTTTTGCAATGGCATTTTGAACCATTTTGACTAATAATGACATGAAGTGAAACCAACACCAAGGGTGGCGATAGAAAGAATTCAAGTCTTTGCTGACATCAGAGAGCTGAGGAATACCCCCGGGGCCTGAAACTTCCGCCATACTTCCTGTTTGTCAAAATACATAATTTAATCAGACATGGTTTTGGACAAGTGGCTTTCTTTGCCATGAAAAGGCAAAGAGATGGCAAAAAGAAAGGTGAACAGAAGAGGTATAAATAATGCTCCAAAAAAGGATTTGATGGAACTGTTGACAGAGGGGGATGATAATGGATATTGAAGGCCTTTTACTTTTCTCTTTACACAGTTCTGATACTAAACCAAATAGACAGCCCCTCCCAAGAAATGTACTACTTTTATAATAAAAATATATAAATTAACCTTTTTCAAATGTTTAGTTTTTAAAGGAGATGAAGTTGAATTTTTGGCAAATTGATCATTAGCTAAACAGGCATTGGTAGTTTTTGTAGATTGTGAGTAGCATTTACAAAGGGTAGGATGGGGAGAAAGAAATAGAATAGGATAGAAAATATGGGAGCACATCATATATATAAGGATAAATGTTATTTTTGAAACTTTTGTTTCAGAGATGTGTGTGTGTGTTTATGTGTGTGGGGTGATGGGGGGAGGTTGAGTTTTCATGTAAAACATACTTCTGTGAACTGAGATAGAAGTTGTAAAATGTTGTTTTATGCCAGGTGATCTGTTACCAGGTTGCCTTCCTCCCCAAACACTCACTGCCAGCCCCCACTCCTTGGACTCCATCCTCCAGCAGAGAGGGAACCTAAGGAACAGGAAATGGAGAAACTGCCTTCAGACCCCAGCTTGGTTCCCTCCAAGTAATTTGGAAGACAGAGCGAGAGATAGAGAGGAGCAGCTGGGAATATGACTGTGGTGGCCCTAGTGCCTTGCGTTCGGGTGCCCAGGGACACAGGGAAAACCAAGACCCACTCCCATGCTTGCAAATAGCTGTTTGCTCCAGAGCTCTGGCCCTGAGGCTCATGGGCCCAGCTCGGTCACGAGGTCCTAGCCCAGAGGGAAGAGGTGTCTACGTTATGGAGCTCTGTACGTGGATTCACGAACAAGGTTGCCCACCCAGGGCGTTGGTCTCCAGGGTCAGAGTGACAATGCAGAACAGGTTGACAGTGGTGTTGTAAACAGTGAACTCCACAAACACAGCTCTGGTCAGGGTGTCCAGCCAGGTGTTATCAAAAAAATACTGGAGAATTCTGCAGAAAGAAGGATGTTTAGGGGGATCCCCATCCCACAGTGGCTCCCTGACAGCTTCCCATCTAAACTTCTCCCTCAGCCTGTAGTCTGCATCCTGGGCCACAGGGTTTTGGGGATACTCCTGGAGGTGGCTACGGTTTACTACCCCAGTGTGCCCAAGGTGCCCATGGTCTCCTGGCCCTTAGAGCAGAAGTTCTCAAAGTGTACTCCTGGGCCAGCCTCATCAGCACCCAAGGGGAACTGGTAGAAATGCAAACCTACTAAGTCAGAAACTCTGGGGGTAGGGCTTGGGCATCTGTTGGTTTTTTGTTAGTTTTTATCTTTAACAAAATTTAATAATTAAAAACTACAGACCAATATCCCTCATGAATATAGATGCAAAAATCTTCAACAAAATCCTAGCCAATAGACTCCAACAGCATATCAAGAAAATCA